GGAGCCCCGGCCCCACCCCTGGACTGCGAGGACTCAGGGTGGACAGAGGCTCTGCTGGGAGCCCATGGGGGGAGCCCCGTCCCCACCCCTGGACTGCCAGGACTCAGGGTGGACAGAGGCTCTGCTGGGAGCCCACGGGGGGGAGCCCCGTCCCCATCCCTGGACTGCCAGGGAGACACACAGATGCTTGAGCTCTTCAGACATCTCACATGACGCTCGCAGACAGAGAGGGGCAAGGGTGGATCATTCCTCTACAGATGGGGAAAGGGAGGCCAGAGGGGTTTCCAAACAGGGCCCCTCAGCTGGCAGGGAAGGGGCACTGCTGGGACTTAGGCTCAGGCCCCTGGTCAGGGCCAACCTTCTTTGCTCAGCTGGCCTGTCCCTGGAGGTCAAATGGAGGCTCAAGCAGGGATTCCTTTCCTGGCATGGGGACCAGGGATGGAGAGGATAGCCCAGGCCTATCAGATCACCTGGAAAGTATGGCCTGCACCTTTAAAAAAAGTTTCTTTCTTCCATAAATAAGAGGGATGGGGGTAGGGGAAGGCGCCCCAAAGGGGTGTTCACAAAGTGATCCACACCCCAGCCTCAGCCAGCTAGGATCACGGGTGTCTGGTGTGTTCAGAGAAGTCTCGGGATGAGAGCCAGATCCTTCCCATGTAGGTCAGTCTTACAGGGCGCTTGTTACCGCTGCGCCACCATCGGGTCCCTGGCCGAAGCCTCATGTATAATCCTGACCCTTCCAGCCTGGTCACAGCCGGGTGACATCAGAGTGTGGGAAAGGCTGTCCCTGTTGGGCAGAGTGTGAAGGGGTAACTGTCCCAGAGGCATGGTGGGGTTGGCGGCAGGCTCCACATGGGGCCCCAGTGTGGCCTCCAGGGTCAGTCTGGGCTGCCCTGCCCCTCCCATCACTACCTGGAAGAGCCACCTTTCAGCGACCTTCTCCAAATAAAGTTTGGGGTCTGCCTATCACAGGTCTGCAGCTCCCCGCAGCCATCCCAACCAGATCAAGGAGGACAAGGTGGAGAAGAGAGCACTGGCCAGGGCGTCTAGGAGCCAGATACGCTTCCACCATGGACTCCAGGCGTACCCTGGGTGGGAGGAGGGAGGACTGAGGGTCCCACCCAGACCGCCCCCCGCCCCAGCATGCCCTGTACCTTGATGGCCTGGCCGAAGCAGCCCTTGCCCAGCACCTCCCCGTGGATGAGGTCCGACGGCCGGAAGATGCGGTGTGGCCGGCAGACCACTCGGAGGGATTCAGAGCGGCCCAGGTCCTTGCGCTGGGAGGCTGGAGAGCCTAGTGAACCGGCACCTGGAGACCTGTCAATGCTGCAGCTCCTCCTGGGGGCACACAGTGTCCAGTGCCACTGGGGGGAGACAGCACCTGGCCAAGGCCTGCCCCCTCCCCATTCCCTGCATGCCCTATCCGTATAGGACGATGTATAGTCACTTCCTGTCCCAGGAGAGGTGGCATGGCTCAGTCCTCCCAGACAGTGGCAAAGCTGCCCGCTCACCCTGGCCCCAGCCTCGTCCCACCCCACCAGGTCCTGCTCTGCGATCCTGCTGTCTGAGGCTCCCCATCATGCATGTGCCCTTGGTGAATGTCAGCTCTTGGCCTCTTCTACCTGGTGGCTCTGGGACAGATGCTTTGTCTCTCAGCACCTGGTCCCAGGCTTTGAGGGAGAGAGCATCCTAAGATGCCATAATCCTGTCATAATGGCCCTGCTGAGACAAGCCAGGCAAGGTGGAAACACAAGCCTTTAACATCATAATTTCTTTCTTTTCTTTTTTCATTTTGCTAGAGGGTGCTGGCCAGAGAGGGAGAGAAAAAGAAAGTGAGAGAGCACCCTCCAAGGGGGATGGCCATGCCTCAGTCCTCCCCATTTTCCTCTCAGGATTCTGGGTATGCACGCTCATGTGTCTGGTGTGTTTTTTAAGCCACCAGGTCTAAGACTTGAACATAAAGTAAGCCATGTGAGATCCAGCAGTCTTAACCGCCATGCCACTCGCTGGCTAGCTGAACATCACAATTTCTTACAGCCAAGGTCTGTCACCCCACAAGGTGTCCCCCCATAGTCTTCACTGGGAGTCCTGGCTGCCTGTGGGTTTTGTCCTTGTGCTCCTTCCGCCCCCAGGGTTGAGAGGCTAGGGACCCTTGGTAGCTGCTGCCTAAACCCCTCTAGTAACTGTCTCTGCTCTTGAGTGGCTCCACCCTAAATCCCTGTCACACAGTGGACAACGGTCTTTGTGCAATACATGACTTTGCTGCAACATCCCTCCCTATCCCTTGTGATAGGTGGGACAAGGCCCAGACACCCTGCCACTAACTCTCACTTCAGAGCCCAGCCCTCAACCACCTTCGAGGTGCCCATCACCTGAACTCAATCGCTAGCTGCTCCTTGAAGCCAGGATGTCAGTCTACGCAGCAGGCACTCAGCGACTCCCCAGCCAGGGGCTGCTCCCCTAGCTTCCTATTCCCTAGCCTCCTTCCTCTCAGTCCCAAGCTCCCCCATGCTGGTTACTTTTTTGTAGACTGGCTCCCTCATCAGAGTGTGAACTTGTGGAGGGTGGGGCGCAAATCCCAAGAACCCTGGGGCCTAGCATCAGGGAAAGCCCCTCAGTAAGAGGTGGGTTGACTTACAAGACAGGTTTCTGCCGGGCAGAGCTGCCTGCCTCCCCACTGGGTGTGTGAGCTGGGGAGCCCAGAGGACTGGGCTCAGGCCCCGGCCCATGGCCCAGTGTGTCATGAGGGTCATGCTCAAGGGTTAGCTGGAGCAGGCGGCTGGTTTCCTGGATCAGCAGGTCAATCTGGGGGGAGTAGGTGTATGAACATGTGAGTTTGCTATGGTGGTGGGGGCAGGTGTTCAGGTGTGAAGGCACCACCTCCAACCCTGTCCACCACCCCAGGCCCCAAAATCACAACTCCTACCTCATCCAGGGGCACATTCCGGATAGGTGTGCCATTGATTTCTAGGATCCGGTCTCCAACGTGGATGGAATTCTTCACATCTGGGCTCATACAGCCTGGGTCCACTCTGTGGGTAGAGCAATGGTCAGACCAGTGGCTGACAGTCCCCTGGAGCCCTAACAGAAAACCAAAGCCAAGGTGACCAGACTGGGGGAGAGGCGACAAATGGTTCTGTCTTGTGCGGTTAAGAGGTGGCAACTATCCAAACACAGTTCTGGTTTGGCAATTGAACTGTGTAATCGATTACTAATGTCTCCCCTGGGAGTGAAACTGGGAAGGGGCACACCTGTTGGTATCTGCCACCCCATACTAGGGGCTCTGCTACTGCCTTTCAATACAAAGGCAGAAGACAGACTGATCCTGCCATCTGTCTGGTATGCTTGGGGCAGACAATTGGCATAAGACAGGTTCTGCAAGGGTCTGGATCTACTGGCTTCCCACCTGACTCCTAAACTCATCCTTCCAGAGGAGGCCAAAGTGCCCATTCTTTCCGCACTGCAGGAAGGGGCTAGCGGCCTGGCCTGAGCCACAGTTGCAGGGTGGAGATGGGAACGATGCCCTTGATTAATTGGCTATAAGATAACTCACAGAAAGCCATATTTAGGTGTTTTTTTTTTTTTTTTTTTTTTTTAATGGGGGGCAAGGAGGGAGAAGGAGGAGAAAGACAGAAGTATTTTTGATAGGCAAGTCATGATCTTCTGCCCCAGACACCCAGTTAGCTAAGATGAAAGGTGCATGCCACTCTGCCCAGCCTGTCCAGGCTGGTCTAGGATTTGAACTCGCCTCTCACATGGCCCTACCTCACACAGTGGCACTCTACTTCTTGCACCACTGTACCTGAGCCAGCATGCTTCTTTTAACTCTTCAATGTTAGTTACTTGGTTTTCATTTCACCTCATAAAAGTTTTTAGAAAACTTTCATTTCATCTCTGTCCTAGCTCCCCCAAAAGGGGAAGAGGAGGGAGGTAAGACAAAAAAGAGAAAGACCTTTAAGAAAAACAGATTCGGGGGCCAGCTGGTGGCATGCTGGTAAAGGTGCTGGACTCCCACATGGTCAACTGTGGTTCGGTCTCTAGGCCTGGTAGCTTGAAAGTATCGCCACCAGGTGCATGTGCGTGTATGTCTAAAATCTCAAGAGGAAAATGGAAGAGAAAGGACTGTGGCATGGCTATCTCTCCTATGGGTGATTTCTCACTTTCCCTCTCTCTCTGTCTCTCTCTGGCAATTGCACGTGCTCTATGGCAAAAATTAAAAAGAAAAAAAGAAAAACGGATCTATAAAAATTCTTCATCATCAAGAATATATTTTTGGGGCCAGCTGGTAGCATGGTGGTTAAGGTCCTGGATTCTCACATGGTCAACTGGTTTGAGCCACCTGGCGGCTTGTAAAACACATCAAGCACATATACCTGCATGCCCAAAATCTCAAGAGGAGAATCGAGAAGGAACCATAGGGTGGTCATCTCCCTTAGGGTGCCTTCTCACTCCCCACCCCCCCATCACTCTGGTGAGTGCACATGTCCTATAGCAAAATTAAAAAGAAAATGAAAAAAGGGACTAGATGATGGTATAATAGTTACACTGCTGGACTCCCCTGTGGTCAACTGTGGTTTGAGCCCTGGACACAGTGGCATAAAACTCATGTCAGGTAAATGTGCATGTGTGCCTAAACTCTTGAGAGGAGAACGGAGGAGAAGGGATTGTGGTGTGGCCATCCCCCCTGGGGAGTGATTTCTTGCTTTCTGTCTCTGGTGAGCAAATCCACCCTACAGCAAATAACTCTAAAGAAAAAAAAAAAGTATATTCTCACAGGGAAAGAAACTCTGCTATACATTAAATTTCCTAAGTGGGATAATTATACCATAAGATACAATAGGTAATTATATAAGATAGTACCCTTGTTTTTATTAGAATTCTAAAGTATTTGGTGATGATGGGAGAAGGGTCAATGATGCCTGCAATTTACAAAGGAGTAGTAAATAACTGATAGAGGCAAAAGGAAGAATAGTTAGAAAATCACCATTTTGCAGCCATCACAGTAATAACTGCTTCAGGCAGGAATCATCAACGGATGCTAAAGCCATTTGGTGAAAGGCTGATGGGGAGCAGGATATTTACAGATCTCACAAATGGCTTATTGATTACAAAGGGAAAAAGTCCTTCGCAGGGGAGAAAATGAACCAAGAAATCACAGTTAACATCCCCAGTGAAGGGCACACTGACACCATGTCTCCTGGCAAGCTGAGTCTAGAAGGGCACAGCATTGCATAGGCACTACAGGGTCGAAACTGCAGAACCTAAATCCAGGATGGAGGAGACGTCAGTAAACGCAAACAGGCACATCCTACTTAACAGCTGGCCCTTACACTTCGAAAATCGAAAATGTCAAGGTCATTAAGGACAATGAAAAGCCAAGAACCATTACAGATTAAGGGAGATTGAAGAGACAAGACGATTAAGCACAACATTTGATCATGGCTGAATCTTGGGTCAGGAGGAAATTGCTTTAAAGGGCAATACTGGACAACAGACAAAATTCAAATATGAACTACATATTAAATAATGGTATCAACATTAAATTTCCTAAACAGGATAAGTGTACTGTAAAATACAATAAGCAATTATGTAAGACAGTGCCCTTGTTTTTAGAAGAATATCTAAAGTATTTGGTGATGATGGGGGAAGGGTCATTGATACCTGCAATTTACAAAGTATTAGTAAACAACAACGGTAAGTACATATAAGTGTATGTAAAAATACAAACAGGTCACTTTGTCTATATTTACATATATACATATACCCCCCAAATATGACAAAAAGTTACAATCAGTAAACCTAGGTGTAGGGAGTATAGGTATTCAATACTCAATATACTTATTTTAGCAAATATTATGGATGTTACATTTGAAAACTTTCAAGGTAAGAAGCTTTTTTTTTTTTTTTTTTTTTGTAAAAGATTTTTGCTATAGGGCATGTGTACTTGCCAGAGACACAGAGAAACAGAAAGCGAGAAATCACTCCTCGGTGGGGATGGCCATGCCACAAATTCTTCTCCTTTATTTTCCTCTCAGGATTTTGGGCATGCATGCACACATGCCTGGTGTGAAGTTTAAGCCACTAGGTCCAGTTCTTGAACCACAGACGACTACATAGGAGTCCAGTAATGTAACCATTATGTCATCTGCTGGTCCCAAGGTAAGAAGTTAAGAAAACAAATAACATACAGGCTTCACATGGATATAGCCTTAAAAATATACTCCTGGGGATGTGGCCAGCAGGTGGTGTGGTGGTTGGGGTGCTGGACTCCCACATAGCTGACTGTGGTTCACGTCCCAAACCCAGCGGCTTGCTTTTTCACTTTCTCTCTCTGTCTCCCTCCAGTCAAATTTTAAAAAGATAAATGACAGTAACAAATAAAATTCAATAACTAACTAAATAAAACACACACACACACACACTCCTGGGGTCAACTCCATGGCACAGCCATTAAACACTGTGCAGAGGAAGCTGGATTCCACACCGCCAACCAGGGTTTGAATCCCAGCCCCTGCTGAGTTAAAACCATGCTGGGTACATGAGAACATGTGCAGGATCCTGAAGAGATGGTGAGCTGGGGAAAAAAGGACTGTGGTGCGATCAGGCTGCACTGGGTCTGAGGGGCAGCTCGCTTGCTTTCTTATGCATGTGCCAATAAACAAAGCGCGCGTGTGCGTGTGTGTGCGTGTGTGTGATTTTCCCCTGGGTCAGTGTGGTGGCACGGTGGGAACACATTGCTCAGATGATGCTAGCTCCACACAGATAATCACAGGTTTGGCTTTGTATATACCAGGTGTGGTGCCCACATCCTATCTGCTGGGAAAGGCTGGGGGGATTGCACTCTGGGGGTGCTTCCCTGAATGTTTCTCTCTCTCTGTGAGTCTCATGAAAGAAATTACAAAAAAAAAAAAGTGTGTTTCTATATATTCCTTAGACTCTCTGTATCCCTTTCCCCAGTCTCCTGCCCAGGCTGGGGCCCAGATAAATGAAACTTTCCTTAAAATGCTGCTATAAACAAAATGAAAAGTGGCCAAAAGCTAAACTGATTTAAAAAACTAGTTTAACACAAATGAGTAAATCTGGTCAGCAGTGTTTGGGCAAGCTGGGCTGCTTCCAAGCAAGAAGGGTGTGGCTCTTTGTAAAAAGTGTTGGGAAACCAGATGTTGGCTGGAAAAAAATTCTTCCAGATGTTGGCTGAAAAGACTGCTCATCCAGCAAGGCAGACAGGGAGGAGTTATCACTGACTCCCTTCATTTTAAAAATCTGCCTGGTTTTCAGGGACCAGCCGGGGCCTCTGCTCTGTGAGGGAAGGAGGGGAACCTCCCTTGTCCTCTGTGACAGCTCTGGGTCTGGGAGTGTCATCTCCCTCCCCAGCCTGACTGCTCATAAGGCAGCTGCTGGCCTCCTGCTGCTCAGGTGGGGCAGAGACCCAGGGTCCAGCCAGCAGCATCCTCCCTCCCCAGTACTGCCTTCCCTGGGATCTCATCAGAGCTTGCTACCTGATAGGGGTGTGAGGGATGCTTACTGAGTGAAATGAGAGCTGACCTGTGGCTCCTGGGCCCAGCTGTGGGCCCAGCTGTGGTGGACAAGGCACACTGGTCATCTATGAGGGCCCTGGGCTCAGTTCCAGGGTTGGTCTGCATACAGCTGGTGTGCCTGCAGGTGCACCCATGATCCTGACTGGCCAGAGGATGGTAGGGCGGGGAGATCCCATTGGAGTTCCCGCCAGCACCCATGATCCTGACTGGCCAGAGGATGGTAGGGTGGGGAGATCCCATCAGAGTTCCCGCCAGTCCCCACAGGCCCTACTCCCTCATGAAATAAACTTAAAAGTGAAAAAAAAAAAAAAAAAAAAAAATGGAGACATTAAACCTATGACTCAAGGTATCAATGAAGGCTCAGGAGAAACCTCAGAAGGTGTCCCACTCCACTGTTTAGAAGGACCACAGAGAGAAGGTGGAGCTCAGAGTCACACAGCATGTGAACTGCCAGGCTGGCTGGCTGGCTTGCTTTCATTAGGTCTTGCATGTCGGATCTTTTCTACCTGTGTCAGCATTTTCCTCAGGGCCAGTCTGCTAGTATTCGATCTCAGCTGACTGTCTTAACATGTCTTTCATTTCACTCTCATTCTCGAAGGGTATTTTCAAAGTAGAGCGTTCTGGGCTGCATGTTACTTTTGTTCACTGCACTGATTCCTGGTTTCCAACATTTCTGTTGGGACGTTAGCTGTCAACCCAACTGTCCTTCCTTTGAAGGTAATTTGTCTTTTCACTTGGGCAAATTACTAAATCGTTAATTTAATACTTTTTAGTAATTTTACTAAATTACTAAATTGTATTGTTAAATTAATGAATTTACTTCATATGGGGGTGGACGAGGGATACATGCACCCTTACCAGGGTCCTCATTCTACGCCTCTTCCTAGCTCTGCAGCCAGCCAGGATGTGCTCAGGCAGACCCGGGATATTAACCCGGAACCTCCCCATATGGCTTTGGCATCACATGGCTGCCTGGCTATTTTCTTTCTTTCTTTTTTTTTTTTTTAAAGAATTATTTATTATTATTATTTACTAATTAGACCAGAGAGAGAAGGAAAGAGAGAGAGCAGGCCTCCAGGTCTGGGACTTGATCTGTGGTCAGACATGTGAGAGTCCAGCACCTTAACCATGAAACCACCTGCTGGCCCCAGGCCTGGCTACTTTAAAGGTCTTTCTTTCCTCTTCGGTGTAGTATAGTTTAATTTGAGCTGTCCATGCATAGATTTCTTTTTATTTTGCTATTTGGGATTTACAGGCCTTGAGTCTATGAAATCAGTGTCTCTCATCAGTTCTGGGAAGTTCTCAGGCATTTTATCATCAAATATTGCCTCTGTCCCATGCTCTCTCTCTTCTCCTCCTGGAATTCCAAGTAGGTGATTATTATATCTTTTCACTCTGTCTTCTAAGTATCTTACCTTTTTTTTTCTTCACAGTTTTTTTCTTTTTGTCTATTTTTCTCTTCAGAAGTTAAAACCCTACTCTATTATCAAACCCTTGCAATGAAGTTTCCATTCTAATCATTATATATTTCATTTCCAGGAAGTCTATTTGGTTCTTTTTCAAATTTGTTGGTCGTTTTTAAGTATCTCTTATTTATTAAAACATATTGAGCATGTTTTATATTACCTCTGACAATCTCAGCTATCTCAAGGTTCTGTAGATCTCTATCTGCTTCCTGTTGTTTCTCCTGGCTGTTGCTCATAGTGCCTGGCTTCCACATCTGAGTAAGCTCAAGGAAGCCTGGAGGTGGCTTTCTCCAAAAGGATCTGCCTGAATCTCAAGAACATGACCATTTAGGAACCACTTTAAAATCAACCTTTCCGATTTTGCCTCAAGGTGTTCTGAATTACCCAGTCGTATGAATTTGGTTTGGGAATCTGCATTTATTATTTCTCTGGCAAGATTCCCTCCCATCTCCTATTCAGGTTCAAGTCAATTTCTCTTCTAGTTCTGATAAGAGGTTTCTTATGGAGGTCTGGTTTATTTCTCATTCACCCTCATCTTCAGAGCCCTTTGGGTTCCCCACTTCATGGGGGAGAAGGCAGTTCTCTTACTAGACTAGCTTCCTTGGCCCAGCCATGAAAAGACCTAAAGGCTGAAGCAATTTGGCGCTGTCCTCGAGGCCCAGCTGGTTTCAGTGTTCTTCTGATAGTCCTTTCACTCATTCCAGACCTGTTGATTCTCCTTACTTTTATAAATTTTACTTACTTCTTTTTTTCCATGAGAGAGAGAAGCAGAGAGAGAGAGAACAGAGTGCTGTGTTTTACCACTGCACCACCATCCATTCCCTACTCCTCTTTCTTGCTGGATTATACACGGACAACAGAAAATGTTTTTATAGTTTATCCAGCAAGTGTAATAGCTTCCAGAGGAATGACTAGACCAGATACCTGGTATACCAAGTCATCAGTGCTGGGCTCCATCTGGACCCAAACTTCACCCATTCTCAGGACCCCCAGTCCCGATGTCTGCCACCCACCACATCGATGGCCACAGTAACAACAGATACAGCCTCGGCAGGCAAGTCACTTACCCCTGGACGCGGACAGTGTGAGAGTGCTCTGTGCCGCAGCCCGACGGGCCATGAGCGGGATCGATGGAGACAGAGAGACCTCGTTTGCCATGAGCCGAGGCTGGGATGGACACGAGAGTGACTGTGTGGGGCAGGTGGGAGCCAGGGGAATCAGGCAGGATCTGCTCGATGACAGGGGTCACCACGGTTTGGTAGTAGCAGTGTCCACTGTAAGAGTTGCAGAGAGTGGGGACCCAAAGAATGGGAAGAGCATCCAGTCAGTCATCAGTATCACTGCTCCTGCAGCTCCCCAGGCCGACTCTCTTCTCCTCTCCTTCTTGGGAGAAGAGGGACGCAGCCAATGGATGGGACTGGGAGCAGGAACTCAACAAGCCCATGACCCCTTGCCCCTCTCTGGGGCTCTGTCATTGTGGTTTGTCTACTCTTTGTGATGTTGTAAAGACAGCCAGGTCAGGGCTGAGGACAAGCCCAGTTCAGGACAAAGTCATTAATAATAAGTCCATTTGAGATAAAGCCATGCTCTCCTCTAACCCAGCTTTATGAGAACTAGATGTACATAGTCCTGGGGTGCCTCTGGGCAGTGCACGGTCTGCACAATCACACAGAGCACTTCTCTCCCTGGCTCCTGGGAGAGACTCTAGGAGTGCCTCTGTTATTCATGAGTCCCCAGGACTAGGTCTGAGTTTTTGCTAATGACTCAGATGGACTGGCCACCACAAAGACCAACCATGTGATTGGGGAGGCCGGAGCTTTCAGCCAGTCTGACCTCCAAGGAGGGGGCTAGAGACTTAGTTTAATCATGTGGCTAATGATTCAACCAATCATGACTACATAATGAAACCCCAATAAAAACGGGATGCCTAAAGCCTGTGAAGCTTTCTGGTTGATGATCACACTGACATGCCAGGGAAGGGAGGGAAAGTATCTTCACTTGGCCGGTCCTGAGCTGTATCCTTCACAACAAATCTGTAATGCTAAGTGTGGTGCTTCCCTGAGTCCTGTTGGCTGTTTACAGAATGATTAAACCGGACAGGGTCATGGAAATCCCTGATTGTAGCCATTTGGTCAGAAGTGCTGACCCTGCCCTGCAACTGGTATCTGAAGTGAGGGCAGTCTTGTTGGGGACTGTGCCCTTAGCCTGCGGGGTCTGCACGGACTCTGACGGTTAGTGCCAGAACTGCAGCGCAGTCATCCTCCAGTAAGAAAGCGGATGTCTGGGGCCTTCTCAGTCGAACTTATCATTCCCATGGCACGGAGAGAGGAGAGATATTAATGTTTGCTCCCTTGAAATGCACTGCATGGAAAGAGCACACACCCTGAGTGTGGGAGACCCAACATCCTAGCAGTCCTGTGACACAGGTGGCACCCAGGCTCAAAGTGGGGCCGAGGGACTCACCAGTATAGCTTGGAGTGCTCCACCAGTGTGTAGGTGTCCCCGTCACCAATGAAGGTCCCACATGTGAGGCAGATGAAACACTCGGGATGGTACTTCAGCTCCCCAGCCACCTGAAGGGAGACGAGGAAGAGGGACAACCCAGCTCAGCAGGCCCTTGGCCCCCACAGCTCTGCCTCTTGGTCGCCTCTCTTGAAGGACAGCCCCACACACTACAGGGCCAGCTACTGAACTTCTGGCAGAGCTGGTTCCATAGACAAGGTGAGGGATGCGACAGACAAGCGGGTCAGAGGGCATGGGGGTGGGGATCAGAGAAACTGTGAAAAGGACAAGGGCGATGATAAGCGAGACCTGGAGCAGTGATGCCAGTGAGGACATGGACAGATCTCTCTCTCTCTCTCTTTCTCTCTCATACACACACACGCACACACAAGCTGTGGGCACTCACCATGACCAGCCCCTTGGTGATGTGCTCCGAGCACCCGTGGCAGGACTCCCCATAGCGGGCCCAGTAGTCCTTCTTGCAGAAGAGCTGCCCATCCTTCTCATAGTACTGGTGTGAGAGTGAGGCGCTGCATTCACAACACCTGGGTGGGGAGGTGGGGCTGAGGGTGGCCGTTCTGCCCTCCCAACGCCCAGGCCTTGCCAGTCCACAGACCATCCAAAGAACTGCAAAAAGGTGTGCCCTTGGGGCAGTGCCAGGCTGCGCTGGGCCAGGGGACATGGCGAATGGGATGGATTCAATCTCCCTGGTCCCTCAGCCACATGCCTCTGTGTGGTGCATGGCCTGCACGACCCCATGCAGTGGCTCTGGCCACCCACTAGCCTTGGGGGTGCTTGTCATCTGGGTCTTGTCACTTGTCAAGACAGGAGGATGGCTCAGAGTGGGCAGGTACTTGCTTACTGTCAGGTGATGGGACTGGAACAAGTCATGGGGCCCATCCTTATAGCCAAGGTGGCTCCCTCTTTCTCTTTCACTCCCTAGCGACGTGGATGTCACTGGGCCATCTGTCAGACGGCCGTGACCTGTTAGAGCTGGGAAGGTCTACTGGGCTCTAGCACCGTCTTATGTCCTTGGTTAGATTTGCTTAATCCTCATAGGCCACCGTGAGGTGAGCATGGCTATCCTCACTTTAGAGAAGAGGCACAGGGGCTCCCAAGGAGTAACTGCCCACGGTCCCACAGGTGGGCACCATGGGCCACACAAAGCTACTCCCTGCTCCACTAAGATACGAAGGAGGAGCTGAGCTCAGTACAGACCAGCCAGGGTCGCAGTCAAGACAATGCAAGTAGGCTTCCTAGGCCCCAGGAGCACTACAGGTCCTGCCGATCACAAGAAGATAGGGGGTCCACCTATGGCTCAGACCCCTAACCCCCAATGGCTTCCTCTGAAAAAGTAGCCACCATGAAGCAGAATGGTTGCCCTATCATTAGGAGCTACCAAGAAGGCAGATGGGGAGAAATGACTCACCAGCTGCTAGGTGCTATGCCACAGGCTAGGAGCTAGACCTGACCCAAGCATCCTGGTGCTAGAGACACCATGGAGTGCATATAAACACGTGGTCCCGAGTGAGGCCACAGGGGCTCCAGGTCCACTGGACTCTGGAGAGCCTGACCCAGGGTCCTGGTGTGCAGAGATCCATCTGGGCCAGAGCACACATCCACGTGGAGAACAGGCTAGGGTGTCTGTTCAGCTTTGCAGCTGCCTGGGGGCTCTGGGTCACACAGAGACAGGACCCGGGCTCTATGGGTCAATAATTCAGAACAGAGCCAGACTGGGCAAGCCAGCCCCTTCCCCCATGCAGCCAGGGGACCCTCCAGCACACTGGCCTGCACATGGTCTCATGAACTGCTCATTAACTTATGGGAACTAGCAAGGGAGATGGTGGGACACTGTTCCTTTAAGAGGATCCAGCCAGTTCCCCATTGTCTGGGAGGCTGAGGGGGAGGGGATGAGAATGGGGTGGTGGGAGTGCATCCAGGAAGAGGGGCATGATGAGCTCCCGTACAAGAGTGGGTTGTGCACAGGGCTGAGGGGGAGGAGGAGGAGATGGCGGAAGAGCCATGACGTCATGGCGGCTGCCCTCACTCCCACTCCCGGCAGCAGCCAGGGTAGGCGTGGTAGGGGCAGCCAGCTCACTGTGCCTGGGGCAGTGAAAGGACAAGCGGAATCTGGAGGGCCCCAGCAGGCTCCAGAGGGCTCTAACCTAAGGGGAAGATATAGGGGGAGGAGGAGGAGAGGGCGGAAGAGCCATGACGTCATGGCAGCTGCCCTCACTCCCACTCCCTGCAGCAGCCAGGGTAGGCGTGGTAGGGGCAGCCAGCTCACTGTGCCTGGGGCAGTGAAAGGACAAGCGGAATCTGGAGGGCCCCAGCAGGCTCCAGAGGGCTCTAACCTAAGGGGAAGATATGCAGACTAGTCTCAGCAAGAGGCAGTGGCAGGTTCCTGCCTTACAGGGAGGTCCCCAGCCTTGTGCGGATCAACCCAAGCACACAAGATTTCGGTCACTGGAGTGTCCCGCCTGGCCTGCCCTGGGAGCAAGGCTGCAGGAAGCAGAATGCTCTTCTCCTGCCTAGAAACGCCTACTTCCCCGCCCTCACTCATTGCGAACGCTCACCACTGCAGCCTTGGCAGCAGCATGAAGGCTCCCTGTGACGGTGTGATCAGCTCCCATGGGACCCTACTTCCTTGCAGCCTGTCGGAGGCCTGGCTGGGGTGTCCCCGCCACTCCTCATGCTGCCTACACCACCCGCCTGCTAGACACCAAGCCGGTCCAGGAGAAGACACAAGTGGTTCTATCCCTGCAGCTGGTCCAGGGTGCCATCTCAGCCTCCTTCTCACGCAGGGGGCTGAGACTCAGTGGCTGGCGTCCAGGCCTCATTGGACCTTTGCTGATGGAAGGCAAATGGGAGCCCCCATCCATAGCCCCACACCCAGACAAGAGTCAGAGGAGGCAGGAGAGGTAGGACAGGCCTGGCTCTCTGGGGTGCCCCACACAGGTCATCTCTCCCACAAGGGATGTCAAGAGGGGCAGACCAGACATCGAGGGTGTGTGGTGCCGGCCCAGGGTCAGACAGAGAGGAACTTCTGGAAAACACTGTCCTGAGTACCCGCCCCTGAAAGCTGGGGAGGGCAGAGCCAGGCCTGGGCAGAACAGGAGGAGGGCACTGGGGAGGGTGTGCAAGGGGCACCTGCAGTAGAGGAGACTGGAGGGGCTGGGAGACGCAGGCCACCTCCACACAATGACAGGTGTGTGGTCCATCCCTCCAGGGGTGCCCTCAATTCAGAGCCACATCCCTGGACCAGGGGTGAAAGAGCGCTGGCAGGCCAGCCTCACGGGAAGACAGGACCAGCAGGGTCAGAAACTTCAGTGGCAGCCTGCTCCCCCAAATAGCTCGGCCCATGGTGACCAAGGAGTTTCGGTTCTGCCCACAGCACTCAAACCAGGGGCCCTGTCTGGGGCCTCAGACAGGTGGGGAGGGGGCTTCCCACTTACTTATCACCTCTGAGGAAGCGGCTTCTTCTCAGGGCTGAGGCTAGCAGCATCCTTTGCAGCTATGGCAGAGGCTCTGGAGGCCTCCGGGAACACAGGGGTGGCCTGACCAGCCGCTTCCCCATCCTATCCAGTGGCTCAGGACTGGAGGCGGCAGAGGGCGGGGCCAGCATGACCACACCGCATGGGAGGAAGATGTAGCACAAAGGATGCAGAAGGCTTGGTCTGAGCCTGTGACAGGAAGCAGGTGAACCGCCTTCGCCTGGGCTTGGGCAGGCCGAGAGGGAGGGATCTAAGTCCTGACCCCAGGCAGGGGGGCTGTGGCCAGCTCTCCCCCTGGGTCATGCACACCCCAGGAAATGCACCTTGCCTGTTTCTCAGCCTTTACAAAGGCACTGAGGGTTCGACCTCTCTGAGGACAGGGACAAGCTCAAGGCAGTGGCCCCACCTCAAGGTACTGAGATGTTCTCAGAAGAAATGGAGTTGAATCCAGGGCCTGGGGCACCCCACTGAAAGCCAGCCTGACTGCTTGGTAGCCACGTGCCCAGGCATGTGGTGACCCTTCCCTGGGCCCCTTTCCTAGCTGGCATGGAGGGAGGGCGTTGCTAGTCTCCCCTGCTCTGGGCCATGCCAGGAGAGCAGCATACCAGCAGGCCAGGGACACCTGGGCGAGCCATGAGTGGAAGCCAAAGGAAGACCTGCAGGCCTCCTCTCACAGTGAGACTCCTCCTCATGTCCAGCCACCTCGGGGCGGCTCAAGGACACCTTCCTATTGCCCACTCCAGTCACCCCCAGTCCCAGTGACTCAGGGCAGGCTACTCCAAAGCCAGGGAGAACACACTCTGCCCTTTGGCTTCCCTCCTGTGGCCTCCATGATTGCGCTCTCACCCTCCCTGTCTCCCAAAGCTCCATCTCCCCCTCGTGCCCCAGGCAGAGGGAGCCCCCAACTCTTCCTTTGATTTCTCTTGGCCCATTACACATCTTGTCCACCATCTCAGGGTGTCCCTCCAACTGGACTCAGACTCTCACTCCAACTCTGGACATTGCCACCCTAGAAAGCCCACAGCACCCTCTACTTGACAGGAACAGGCATGACTTGTCACTAACCCACCCCTGGTTCCACCAAAGTCCACAGACCAGCACCCTCCCAGAGCCCAGATCAGAAAACCAGAACAGCCCTTTACCAGCCCCACCACCCTAACCCCAGGCCTTCGCCTCTTTAACTCTGCAGTCAGATGGAGTGAGAAAGAGACAGGTTTGAGGACCAGCCCCGGCTGTGCAACCTTTGGCGAGACACCTGATTTCTTGGAGTCTCTATTTCTCGCATGGAGAATTTCCCACTTGCCCACTCTCACTGGGCAAATATGGTACCTCACTGGGTGATAGTCAAGGTTTAGCAACTAATATTACAAGTCTGCTTAGGGTCAGCAGGTGGTGTGGTAGTCAAGAGATTGGATTCCATGTGGCCTACTGTGGTTGGAGTCCTGGACCTGGTGGCTTGAAAATCATGCCAGGTATGAATGCATACATGCCCCAAGTCCCAAGAGAGAATAGAGAAGAATGGATTGCAGCATGGCCATCTCTGCTGGGGGGCGATTTCTCACATTCCCTCTCTCCATTCTGTCTCTCTCCAGCGAGCACATGTGCCCTATGGCAAAAACCTGAAAAAAAAAGAACAAAAGCTGGCTCAGTAAGTGGTAGCTCTTGTGACTAATACTTACCAAAAACTGTCCCTTTCCTATTTGAAATTCTCTCCACCCCAATCACTGTCCCAGGTCAGGCCTTATGAAGTCAGATCCCTGAGCTACCGGGACAGTCCCTCCCTTGCCAAGTTACCACCATGTGTGCACTGGGATGGCCTTCTACCACCGCACACCCACCCACATCCTTCCCTTACTTTCTGCAGGCTCCTTACTGCCTTCAAGAGGTCCTTATCTCAGCATTCATGTCCCTTTGCAAACCGGTCCTGACTGTGCCCCCTCGCTGAGCCCAACTCACTCCGTTCCTACTCAAACAGGCTGTCCTGGTCCTTCGACAGTCCGCCCCATCCCACCTCCAGGTGCAGGTGGTTTTCTCCACCTGTCCAGAGCCCTCTTGTTCCCTGAGACCTGCTTCTAAACACCTGATCTGGGACCCCAGGACACACTGCCTGCTTCTCTTTGTCCTCACTGGCTAGTGTGGGCACTAGTGTTCATTTCACTTGCTGGCTGTGTGACTGCAGTCAAGAGAACTAACCTCTCTGGGTACCAATTTTCTCTCTGGCAAAAAATGGAGACAATACAATATCTAAGTTGCATCTAGAACAGTGCTTGGTTCTTACTAATAATTAGGCATTATTATCTAAAACAAAGAACAAACAAACCTTTTGGAAACCTAAAATTAACTCTTGGTGGTTGATGCCCCTACAGCCCTGCTGGCCCTCCCAGCTTTATCTTCCCTTCCTCACAGGGCATTCTCCTCTGAACTCGGCCATTTGCTGACTGCAGGGGGTGGGGTGGGGGGCTCTTGGAATTCCTGCCCACCACACTTCTGCACCCCGGAAATTTGCATCCTTTGAGAGCTTCCTCTGGGCCTAGAGTCCAGGCCAAGGCTATCCCCTACACCTGGCTTCTCGAGATGGTCACTGGGCCACCTCTGGGTTCCCAGGTGTTCTACTTGGTCCCTGGCCTCAGCCTGACCCCACTTTTCTCCTACCCATGGGTATCTGTGTCTAGAGGCTGGGGCTGCTCTTATTGGACTATGCATTGCTACAGTGAGCCTGGGGCCCAAGGAAGGTGGCTCAGCTTCCCCCAAGGCCTGGATTGTCTTACCGCTCCCCCTCCCACCTCCCTCTCCCGCCTAGGTGCCAAAAGGTCTTGGTAATACAGGCTGAAATGCAGGTCTCCTACTTCCTCTCTTTTGAGACAAAACAGGAAGGTCTTTTGGGATCTTCTAGCCAAAATGCCTCATTTTACAGATGGGGAAAGTGAGGCCAAGGACTCCTTACACGTCACAGTCAGGGACAGCACTGGCAGGAATATACAGGTCTTTCGGATGCTTGTCCAGCCCATCCTCTTTGGCAGGCCTTCTTAGGGCAACACAGGCCCTGAGCACCCCTCCCCAGCCAGCCCACCCTACCTGAAGCAGTCTGAGTGCCAGTCAGCATTCAGGGCCTGGAGGTACTGGCCATCATAGATCCTCTGGCCGCAGCTCGCACACACCGGCAACTCGCTTCCTGCAGGGGTGGAAAGGGAGTTGGGAACTATTTTGGGGAAGTGAGGCTTGGTGCAGGTTCAGTCTGCCCTGCTGACCCACCTGTCCCTA